GTATCGACGACTCACAGATTCTACTCTGCCAAAGACACATGCATGTAGAGGAGTCTAACAGCTCCTATATCAGACTTTGACTTTCCCAACTCCCCTAGTCTTTCTCAAAAGGTAGAAACCCCATCAGAATCCAAGTGGAGGACAAAACAAAGAATTCACAATCATTTAATCACCACAACGAGCAAAAGACTGGACGATCTGGGAATCGAACCCAGGACCTACCGCATGCTAAGCGGTCATTATACCACTAAACCAATCGCCCATTGGATGATCTAGCCCGGACTTGAACCGGAGACCTTCAGTGTGCTCAGTTTCGAGGAGACCTCGAAATCTGTTAGACTGACGTGATAACCAACTACACCACCAGACCAGTTATTGTTGTAGACGAGCGGCGGAATAGGGCTTTATGAATTCTGGCTTTGGAATGTGTGCGGTGAACGGCGGGACCCGCTTGGTTGTGGCAGCGGAGCCCTAAAAGTAGGCTGCTGCAGAAAGTCTGGTTCATGCCGGCTGTGGTGGGTCGTTCGATGCAGGCCCCATCAGTACCGGCCCGATGTCTTGTCAAAGAAACTCCCGTCGTCCACCGAATTGATATTCTAGGATCATGGTTGTGGTCTCGCTTGAGCAAGGTACCTGCAATGTGATTTAATGTTTCGTTGCCGACCCCATCGTCTGGCTAGGAGGAGGCAGGCAAGGCACAGTTGGGGGGCACCGCAACCTCCAAAGATGATGATAGTGACAATCGTGATGCAGAAAATCGACCAGACCGTTCGGGGAAGGTAGTAAAGTGGACTGGATTTTTTTTTCGTCTTGGTAATTGCCCGGACTGATAAGACGACATCTTGAATGGTGCCGAATATCCAGACAACTTTGCTCCTCGACCATGTCAGCCCCCCACGCTGCCTTCGTCGATTTTCGCAATATTCTCCGAAAGCTGGCTAAAGTCCGACCATGATGACGAGCTGCATGCAGCTCCGGCGTGGGGTACGGGAAGAAAGGGCACGCGTGAGCCGCATTCTATTAGACGATAATAGACTGGCCCATTAGGAGATCGGACACACTGACGGCAACGTATCGAGGAGCTTGCGAATGTAGAGCGTGTGCCGTGCATGCCAGTCGTACAAACAACTGGCTCCCTGCTTCTTCGGAAAGTTTCTCCAGTCAAGTCAATGAGCCATGCAGGCCATCCATGGTGTTTTCGGACAGACGAGAAGGTGACACGGCAATGGCTTCCAAGTCGTGTGCCTGACTGTCTATCGAGGCCTCGTGTCCTGAGTGCAGTCTATAAGGACATCTGCCGTTCATGATAGCTCTGACCTCGTACTCGGCCTGAGACGCCAACTGACAGAGGTGCTCGTCTGAAGTTCCACGCCTCCCGAACACGTGAAAACATGCAGTGGGTCGGTTTGCTCTACCTTCAACTGGCCTTGAGGCGACTTCTTGACCGCTTGGTTCTCGCATTCGGAGCTATGGAGCGGCGAAATCCCACTGCATTGAGGTCGAAAGGCCCAATACAGTTAGTTACATTGGTAGTGTGGTGTAGTATGGCAGCAGCGAGCTCGGTGAGCACTCGACGAATTCGAAAGTTGGGCATTGTAAAGTGTGTTTGCCTGGGGATCCCGTCAACGAGCAGATGATGTGTTCATGTTGCACATGCAGGTGTAGATCCTCCGCATTTTTGTCGCTGGGAAATCCATGGGATGGCTGGCTTGGCATTTCCTTTACCGGGCTTGTGCTTGCTGCGTCTCAAGTCACGATTTTTTGTGAAATCAAAGTCCAAGTCAAATAGATAGAATATCCCTCGATGAGCAAGGCAGTCAGGGTGCCTCAATCTCTTGCTCAGGCATCAGAGACTGGGCAAAATCATGCTATCGAGAGATGCCGTCGGGCATTCAAGATTATCCGTTGAAATGATGAAAGTACCGCATCAATCTCGAAATGAAGTCCCAGGATGTTGGAGCATAGACTTGGGGGCCGAACATTTAGTAGCAACCGTGATTGCTCACGGCCTAAGTACTGGTCGCATTGACTCGGTCGTGGCAGGCTTGGACGATTCAGGAGCCAGAAGATTTAGAGTTCCTGCCTGAAACTCAAAGGTGGACTGACACGACTGGTTAGCGTGATGATGGTACAGTCCATCTCATCTTGGCCACGTGGGAAGGTGAGATGGCGGAGATGTGGTCTGGGCGCCTCTGTCCATAGGTCTAAAGAGTTTCCTCGTCTATCCGTACCTTTCCAACTTTGTAAGGACCTTTTGATGGGTATGACTTGTTGCTATATTTCCACGAAGCTCTCGGGGCCGTTACTGAGAACATTCAGGCCGACGATAATCGTACCAGTGTCGCTGGATGTGCTCCATAGACAATACTGCAATGACCGAGACGGGGGATAGAGCAGGGAAGATTCCAGGGAGCCAAGTTGACAGCTCATATCAGAGAGGTGGAATAGACCAGGGCCTAGACGTCACCTTTTTAGTATGGAACCCAGCAGACCGGTTCTCCGATTTGAGCAAGAGCTGTTCTTCAGAAGCCGCCAACTCGGAGATGAGGAGGGGATAGATAGGAATGATCCTTGTGGCTAACAATATCTGGTTTGACTAAGTGTACAAGGTCCGTACGGATAGGAGCTGGCGATCTGGGCGACCATGGCCAGCGGGAGTGACGTTTTGACGACAACGACACGGCCCGAGGGCATGGTTGACGATCGGTCGCTGCATCGAGTTACCAGTCACACATTCCGGATTCGGGTCAGCTACCAAACTAGGAGATCAAGTCGGATGCAACGTCAACAGAACGACAGGGAAGGGGCTGAGAACCAGATGAGGCACCAGAGTTCGGTTTTTCGAGCTCCCCTTCGTCGTCATGGGATGAGTCCTCCACGCGTAGTGGTGTGCTTGGCTGTGACGGGAACAGGAACTCGAATTTGAACGGGAGGGGCGCGCTCGCATCGAAGTGTCTATTCGTACACTCGCATCTGCGGCTAGCACCCATCCTGGGGACCCCGGAATCCCACCAGTCGGTTCTCAGGTACAAGACGCAGGGGCGCATGCTCGGTCGTCACTGGTCGAAATCAGGCTATTTGAGGAGGGAAGAAAAAATTTCTCTATACCCTCGCGAACCGAGGTGATGGGTGAGGCGAGGAATTGGACGTCATGATTGGCGCAGTAACGACCGAGCTTGAGCTGTCTATAATCTGAAGTATTTCCGGAGCGGTATCGATTTGCCTCGGATAGGCTCAAGCGAGGCAGGTAGTCGACCGCGTATATCCAGGACGAGGCACTAGGATGGTTGGCTGTCATGGAAGCAGAATTTTAGCAACGGCTACGACGTTGCAATGGCTAGACGTAGAGGTTAGCTGGCGAACAGCGTCCCTGCGTCAGTGTCTCGGCTCCGGGCCCTCGGTCGATGGCCGTATCCAGCCCGCAGATCGTTGGTGGCCCTTTGCTTACACTTTATTTGAAGCTCTCTGGTGCCGAGAGACCGCGTAAAGCTTGTACTACGGAGTAGTTGAGATTGTAGAGTCTCTGGTGACTGGATCGTTGGTAGGAGGGCTGTGGCGGATGGTTCGGCAAGACATCCTCGGTTGCTTGGCTATGAAGCTTTGTTAAAATGGAAGAGTAGGACTATCGGAATAACCCCTCATTGCTTGCGCGGATGTAGACCAAAAGGCTAGTAGATGGAAGACGATTCTTCTCGATGAAGTGCATAGTGGCTTGCCCTTGGTTGACAGGGACAGGCCGCAATGCAGGAGAAGTCGAGACAAGGTGGGCAGAGTGGATGCGTCTAGAAGGGTTGAGAGATAAAAATCAATCAGAGTCTAAGGCAAGGTACAGAGACTGGGAGACTGGCACCGATGCAGGCCGTACTCCGTACGTCGGAGGATGGATTCTCTTCATGGCATGGATGATGGCACCTGCATGGAGCCGAGTGCTAGAGTGCGGCGATGCTTTATGGTGTTGTCTTGGAGCCTACCTTAAGGAGCACACAGTAGAGGTTGGGAACTTGGGTCAAGTTCCAACGCCGGGCCCGTCGCGGCGTGGCCTGCACAGTGCTTAGCTATCTTACCAGGATGACAGCCTTGCAGCATCGAGGAAGGAGCAAGCAGTAAGAGCTAAGGTGGTTGAAGCTGTGTGATACTCTGTGCAGGCAAAGTCAAAGTTTGAAGTTCCATGGGTAGTTGAAAAGCTCACAGGTGTGGGGAACGAGAGGCATTGGGTGGAGAGATTTGCCTTACTTCTGATGTGCTTCCTCAACTCAATTGATGCTTGTAGCAGGCTGGGAGTCTCTGATGAAGTCCTGGGACAAGGCATTGAATTGTAAATAGTGGCATGAGATAGAAGTGTAGCAGCATCGTGATTGAGAGAAGCAGGCGCAACTACAAATTAGACATGGTCACCTACCTACCCTGAAGTGATGAAATGGTAAGTCAGTTAAGTCTATGACGTAGTGATTACTACTGTACTACATGAACTCGGGCCGTCGAGATGGGATCTGATGTATTCATGGAGTATCCACAACTTGAGGTGAGAAAGCTCGAGAAGCTACCAGGTTACCTTAAGGTACCTAAGGTAGGAAGGAATGAGGGGTGACAGAGTGTAGTTGGAAGCAGGAAGGCATGGATGATGAGTGATGGCAGGCAAGCCGCACAATGTGCCAATGTGCCAATGTGGTTCCTACCTTACCTTAAGGTATGCCGCGAAAAGAGAACAGCAGGGAAGGCATGGCGCGGCATGGCGCGGCATGGGAAAGGAAAAAAAAGGACGCAAAGAAAAGGGGAAGGAAAGAACGGCAGCCGCATATCTCCATGTCCCTTCCATGTTGGAGCCGGGGGATCGCGCACCTGCCTCAGTCACAGTGAGAAACTCGGGAAGGTGTTGGTGAGGGAAGAAAAAGTGAGGTGGGGGCTCGGGGGATAAACCACGAGTTGATTCTTCTTTCCCTGCCTCAAGAGCCAAGACACCACGTCCAAGTACCTCGTACTCCGAACGCATCCATGGATAGGTACCGAGCAAAAAACAGTCCTTCAAGAGTCAAGCCTCGTTCAAAGGTAAGCAATAGGGCAAGCATCCATCTGCATCTTTGCTCTTGCACCTGCAGCTGTCCACCTGCGCTCTCACTGCTCAGTGCCCACTGTCTCCTATGCAGCACGCAGCTTGCAGCACCACCTCAAGCACGACTCCATCCGCGGAACGAACCAACAGGGGAACATGGGATGGAAGCAGAACCAGAAACATCACAGAGCACGCTAAAACATGCCTTCTCGGCAATCCACTGCGACCTGAAATCCACAGCACCGCTGCACCACACGACCAGGCCACCACACCTCCTGTCAACTACACGTGTACCGACCGAGTAGGAACATTCCTCCACACTGCCCGCTCTGAGGGGGCTCGAGAGCCCGTCTGCGCATGGCCGCCATGGGCCAAGGCCTTGCTCGCTCACGAGAGAGCCCCGGCGACTGCCCAGGACTAGAGCCCACACAAACTGCCCGACTCGACCAAGCCTCAATGGAAAGGTACGAATGCTCCGTACTGCCTACACACCATGACACTTCCGTTGCGGCGTCGCGGCGTCGCCCCCCATTCCCTTAGCCCTGGAGACACATGGGAAGAGAGGAACCTCACCACATGGGATGGGTGGGACAAGACTGGAGAGTCCCACCTATGCAGGAGCTATGTTCGTGCGCGCTGCACCCAACTGGACACCTGCTCTGGCTAAACGGCAGACAAACCCTGACTCAGCTACATTGGGGCAGAGACCCGTTCCCACGCTGAACCCACGGACTCTGAGCCTGTCAACAGCTCAAAAGTGCCGGCCGAAACGAGGTTGCTTTACGGACTGCTATCGGACTGCTATCGTACGCAGTAAGTACCTTTCGCATACAGATACGCATACGTACGGAGTACAGACCACCTTACCCTCTATTCTATAGTATCCAGCCTACTGACAATCTCAAGACGTATCCTGTACTAGAGTGTCATGTCTACTTTGCCTATGACTTCAGCCATGACTTGCTGCGCTGGATGCCGGTCACACGAATAAGGCACCTACTACTCCGTGCTCCCTACCAACACAGGCATTAATACCTTACTTGAGCCAAACACCACTCTACTTGGATCCCGTCGGCCTCGGTCAAAAAGGCAGCCAAGAGACGGCACGGCATCGCATCCTCTTTTCCCGCCTCCGCCTCCGCGAAAAGAACAAGCCAGAGTCCAGAGGCAAGAGGTCAGCAAGCACCTCATCCTCAGGACCTTCCTCAATAATCCCCGCCGCCGTCGCCGTGTGAGCGGGATGCCACGCCGCCTCACCCAATCATTGCCATGGCAAGGTGTTGCTTGCCGGGGGGCCCAATTGGAACCCTACCTCGACTACTTCGACACCCATTGGATCTTGCCTCGCGCCGCTGTGCCTCACACCAAAAGGGCACAGTTCCATTTCAGGAAAGAAGGAAGACGGCAAAGACTGGAGGCGATGGGGGACATCCATCCAAGAAGACTCTCCAAAAGTTAGACGACGCGAAGCAACGGGATCGCTCCCGACCTCGGTCACTATCTCACCACCATGTACTTGGTACGCATCATACACTAAGTTAATCAACGTTGTCCGGTCGGTGGCCCCCGGATCAACATGACGCTCAAGCACTACTCCGTACACCACCACACCAAACTCCTATACTGTAACACGCCAATGATGACCGCCAACCTCGACTTCAGCTAAAACCCCTTCCTTTGAAGCCCTGCGACAAAGTCATCAAAGCTCCGTCCCCGGCTCTCTGCTCTAAATAGCGACGACGTTGAAGCTACCATGCAAGCGTCCGACAGTAGTGTCAGCCTCTCCGTTATTTCGAGACAGGAGGCTTCCAATTTGTGAGACAATTCCACATGCTTCTTTTTCTCGCCATCCGTCACCCATCGTCCTCTACTCCGTAGCCAACGTAGTACATGGGAATACTCTCCAAGGGTACAGTAAGTACTGCAGCCCAACGTCTACTTTTCCTGTTTGTAATCTCACAAAGCACAGCCAATTCTCACCTTTGGGTTGGCGGTAAAATCTGATTCTCCGGTTGTCTTGCATGGTCCCCTCCCGTCGACCCGTCGAATTGACTAGTCGTCAGCTTCAACTGGCCTGGCAAAGCCTCTCTCCGTCTTCACTCGCCCATCCATCTGCCAGTCATCAGTCACATCACCCACCTCGCATCGCATCGCGTCCCGTCACGCATCTTGCCTACTCGCGTCACCTCCATTGCGTCCTGTCTTTCTACTCGCCACAACTCGCTTCTTACCTCTGGCTAGTCGTTTGACTTCCCAGGCTTTCTCGCTCGACTAGACACCCTGGTCAAGAACGGTTTGTCACCCGGCGGCTGTGTCTTCCAGCGTGCAACCACATCCAATTCCACCACACATCTCATCGACGTCTCTCTGTCTTATTGCTGCCCTGTCTGCGATTCAACATTGAGTGCGACCTGGGCAGAGTTTCTTCTCCTGCTTGGGGTGCTGAAGTCACTCTAAACTGAGCTAGATTCGCTCTTTTCTCCAAGTGCCCACGTCCAGTGGCCAATGTCATCCATTTCGGCAACCGGCAAGCGGAAATAACCTTAGTTGACCAGAGTTATCGAACCATACCATCAGCCAGCCATCAACCTAAGCTCCTCAGCCCTCTGGGGGCCGTCTATTGTTCATCGCACGGCAAAGCTGCAACAGCGATCGACGACGATTGACCAGTACTGCCCTCCCTTGCCTTTTGTCTGCTTCTAGATCTCCCCACCCTCTCCAACCGGAGACCGTCCTCTGTACTGCAACTGGCCCTTTCGTGCAGCTCAGTATTCGTACTGACACCTTCAGGCATACAGCCTCCATAAACCTTCTTCTCCCTTTCGCTCTTGTCCTTTGGTTCAGCTCCGACTGTGCTTTGCCTGGAGGCTGTACGTACCCGGTCGTAACCTCGTCCAGCTACCTTGCCCGACTTTATCTCACCAGATTCGTCCGTAGGGCGCCAACAGCAGGGCAGACTGCCGTAACGGAGTTGCTTAAAGTACGGTTGGGATCCTCCAGACGCCCAGGTCACCAAGTACCCCCCAGCAAGGTACCTCTCACCTAACCTACCCTGCCTTAGCTACCCTCCCCTCAGCTTAGCGCAGCTGGCTGGCGAGAGGCCCTTGCAGACGACAGAACAACCAAAAACTGCTGCACCAACACCCTTTATTTGTTTTTAATTGGGTAGCCGGAGTGTGAGAGGATGAGAGCTGGTTGGGAACTTTGACTCTTCTTTTTTTGTCCTGACCTGGCTCGTCGGTCGTCTGTTTCTTCTTCTTTTACTCTCCCATTCTTGTTTTCCTTCGTCTTTGACACTTTCAGGATTTCCATATCCCCCGTCTCCTTTCTCTCTCTCTCACATCCTGTCTCCCATTACTTCTATTCTCGCCTTCCCCTCTTCTTTCTCTGTCTCTCTCTCTCTCTCTCTCTCTGCATCCAGCCAGTCAACCAGTCTGCTTTTGCATTTTTCCATTCCCCTGCTCGTCCCCCGTTCCCCGTCAACTTCCCCCCCTCCCCTCGGGCCCCTTAAAAGCACCCCTCCTTGGTCTCCTGTGGTCCCCACTCTTCCAATCAATTCGGACGGGCCAGACCCAGAGCTCCATGACCCGAGCCCCCGACTTTCAAACTTCGACGCTCCTGTGCTCCAACTACAATTGCATCCGGACCCCCCCGCCATTCTCCTTCGTCCCTTCCAGGTACCTTGTTGCGTCCTCTGGAAATCGCGCCCATCCACTCCCGATATAGAGTGATTTGCACGGCAATCCGCAGCCTCGATTCCGCTACCTGGCTTTCGGACCTCACCACTTCTCCGCCATACCAAACCCTCCGCCTCGCCGACAATCTATTTAACCTTGCTGTCGTCCCTTGCCGCATGACGCGCCGATTGCGAAGTACTCAGCCCGGCGGCCCTTCCTCAAAGGAAGACGACCAGCTGTTGAAGCTTTTCTCAACACACCAATTCGTCCCGGCACATTTCTGTCATCTGAATTGAGCTGCCCTGCTCAGACATCTCTCCCGCAACGATACACACAACCGACAGCAACAAAGTCGCAGCTTCAGGTTGGCCAGCATAGACACAATGTCACGCCACAACAGGCATCATCAGTCCTGGTATGCTCCGCCGTGATGCCTTCCCAATTTGTAAAGGAAGAGATAGAGGGATCGCAAGCTGATCATGCGTAGTCGTGAGCTCCATGTCGTGGTGCTGGGTGCCGGTGAGTCCTTGTTGAGAAATGCGCCTGTCACGTGCGCAGCCCACTAACTTTGCATCTAGGAGGTGTTGGAAAGAGTTGCTTAACAGGTCAGCATCGCGTAGCGCAATGCTCGTGTCAAATGTGCAGCACCGCTAACCAATGCAAAAGCTCAATTCGTTCACAATGAGTGGATCGAGAGTTACGACCCGACAATTGAAGACACCTACCGGACACAATTACAGGTTGATGTGAGTTAATCTTATGCGGGTACTACTTATTGCGACGAATCACTGACTCGATTCATTCCAGGGACGGCAAGTGGTCTTGGAAATGTGAGTAACGAAGGCACATTCTAGCTGCCGTGAGACCATCCATCTAACAATGAATCAGCCTCGACACCGCGGGCACAGAGCAGTTTGGTTAGCTACTTTTCGTACTCTGTCCGACATCCCAGCTGACCGTGGATACAGTTGCCATGCGTGACCTTTACATGAAATCCGGCCAAGGCTTCATTCTGGTCTTCAGCATCACCTCATCGTCCTCTATGAACGAGATTGAGATGCTCCGAGAGGAAATTACCCGCATCAAGGACGACGACAATGTTCCCATCGTCATCGTCGGCAATAAGGCCGACTTGGAAGAGCAGCGGTCCGTACCTAGACAAAGGGCTTTTGCGTGCTCTCAGATGTGGGATGCGCCTTACTACGAAACGAGCGCAAGGACACGAAGTAAGTCAACAGCGGGGTGTTGAGACGAGACTTTGCTAATCAGTGTCATCAGCCAACGTCGACGCCGTTTTTATAGACATTTGTCGCCAGCTTCTCATGAAGGATGAGAAGTTCCAAAACCAAGCCGCTCATGAAGATGAAGACCACGAGTACGAGAAAAACCCAGGTCTCATGGGTTTTGCAAAGCGGAAGCACCGAAGGCGCAGACGTCCTGACGGTCACCGATGCGTCATCCTTTGAGCTGTCCAGCATGACCTTCTATCGACTACGCGTTTCGACTCCCGAAACGCCTTCTAACCATGCATCTCCCTACAAGCGGAAGCATGCGGCGCTTTCTGTTGTCAGCATCCAAGGATTCAACACTCCATATTCGAATTCGACGCATTTCGCAGCCGGCATTCATACACTTCAAGACCCACAAAGAAAAGGGACGCACTCATTCAGGCCCTGCATGTTTCCTTTTACGTTTTTTTTTTTTCGCACTCAAGACGACCTTGTCTCATCGGCAAACCATACCC